ACATAAGGCCACAAACCTATCATTATCTGTTCTTTGACAAAGTCAACAAAACAAGCAATGGGAAAAGTACTCCCTATTTAATAAATGGTGCTGGGATATATGGCTAGCCATATGCAGAAGATTGAAACTGGATTGCTTTCTTACACCATATACAAAAATTAACTCAAGATAGATCAAACCTAAATCTATAAAATCTCTGGAAGTCAACCTAAGGCAATACCGTATATTCAGAACATAGAAACAGGTAAAGATTTCATGACAAAAACCCCAAAAGCAATGGCAATAAAAACAAAAATTGAAAAATGAGATCTAATTAAACTAAAGAGCTTCTGCTCAGCAAAAGAAACTATCAACAGAATAGAGACAGCCAACAGAATTGGAGAAAGTATTTGCAAACTATGCATCTGGGGTCTAGTATCTAGCATCTAGTAGGAAGTCAACCAAATTTCCAAGAAAAAAAAAAAAAACCTTTAGAAAGTGAGCAAAGGACATGAATAGACACTTTTCAAAAAAGACGTACATGTGACCACAAGGCATATGAATAAAGGTCAACATCACTGATCATTACAGAAATGTAAATCAAAACCACAATCTGACACCATCTCACACTAGTTAGATGGCTATTATTAAAAAGTCAAAACATAACAGATGCTGGTGAGGTTGTGGACAAAAGGGAACATTTACATACTGTTGGTGGGAGTGTAAATTAGTTCAACTATTATGGAAAGCAGTTTGGTAATTCCTGAGAGAACTAAAAACAGAACTACCATTTGACCCAGCAATTCTGTTACTGGGTATAAACTTAGAAGAATGTTTATCATTCTACCATAAAGATAAATGCATGCTAATGTTCATTGCAGCACTAATCAAAATAACAGACATGGGATCAATGTAAATGCCCATCGATGACAGATTGGATAAAGAAAATGTGGTACATATTCACCATGAAATACTATGCAACCATGAAAAGAACAAGATCATATCTTTTATGGAAAGATGGATGGAGCTGGAGGCCATTATTCTTAGCAAACTAATTCAGGAACAGAAATCCAAATACTGCATGTTCTCACTTATAAGTGATAGCTAAATGATGAGAACTCATGGACATAAAGAAGGGAGTAAGAGACACTGGGACCTAGTTGAGAGTGGAGGGGTGGAGGAGAGAGGACCAGGAAAAATAACTATTGGGTACTAGGCTTAGTACCTGCTGATGAAATAATATGTTCAGCAAACCCCCATGACCCAAGTTTACCTATATAACAAACCTGTGCATGCACTCCTGAAACTAAAGTTAAAAAAAATAAAAAAAACTTTTAAAAATTAGATAAAGCATTTATATGATAATAAGTAGATTAATGAATTGCTATAAGGCACTTACATTTCTTTCCAGAACCCTCTGAAATCTCAGTATGTTTAATATATTTGAATGTTAAATAGTCTTCAATTATCAAGACATCATTGACTTAATGAATATTTGACATGCCTGTAACCCCAGCACTTTGGGAGGCCAAGTGGGTGGATCGCGAGGTTAGGAGTTTGAGACCAGCCTGGCCAACATGGAGAAACCCCATCTCTACTAAAAATATAAAAAATTAGCTGGGCATGGTGGCACACACCTGTAATCCCAGCTACGGGAGGCTGAGGCAGGAGAATTGCTTGAACCTGGGAGGCAGAGGTTGTAGCCACCACATCTGGCCCAAAACAGCATTTCTAATGTTATGACTGTATTATTGTTTTTGAATTGCAAGTAAAATAAACCAATTTTAGAAAAGCAAAAAGAATTATTATTTTTTTTTGGTGAGGATGGAGGGTGGGTCTCAGAGTCCCTGGAATGGATGGAAGATTTAGAGAACTGGGCTCAGAAACAGGGTGCTATCACTATAGTAAATTTATGGTAGATTTAAGTCCTAAGGTGGGGAGTTTGATAGGTTCCACCCACAGCCATAAGAGGAACGAAAGGATGGGTAGAAGAAGAATCACTCAGAAAGACTCTTTAGGGATTTCTTAGATTTCTTTCAGGGGTTGGGGGCCAGACACCTCAAGCACAGTTTCACCGGGACTGAACCCTGTGAAAGGGAAAGACTTACTCAAAGGAAGCAGATGAATAGTTATGTCAGGCAGTGAAAAAAAAAAATGTATGCTAAGGATCACATGCTGTCTGACTTAACAAACCTGAGGAGAATCTAGGTCATTTCAGGCCCATAAAAGGTCTAATTCAGGTGTCCCCAAACTTTTTGCACAGGGGGCCAGTTCACTGTCCCTCAGACCGGTTGGAGGGCTGCCACATACTGTGCTCCTCTCACTGACCACCAGTGAAAGCGGTGCCCCTTCCTGAAGTGCGGTGGGGGTCCGGATAAATGGCCTGAGGGGGCCGCATGCAACCTGCGGGCGGTAGTTTGGGGACTCCTGGTCTAATTGAAAAGAGATAGGGGAGGAAGGAAGGACGTCACCATACACTGAAGCTATACTGAAAAAGTCACATCACCATTCACTAAACAAGATCAGAAAAGCCCCTAAAATGATATATCTGGAAGTTTAGACTTTTCTGCTTTACAGTGGTTATATTCCAAATAGTGAAGAGAGATTGGAGAGTATTTCAAAGTATTTCTGCTTGCCTGCAAAGTTTTTTCTCTTATTTGATTAATTTAAGATTCAGTGTCTAGAATATTACTAAAATATAATTTCTCTTAACTTGTGACTGCATAATCAATACCCTCTATCCTTGATTAAATGAAATACGAGACTTACTCTGTTTTGTTCTCCAATTGCTCTCTGACCAGAAACCGTGCAGAGAGTAGATTGCTCTCGTTATTTTTAACCATACTATTTTTCTTAACATTGTTGAAGTGCTTTGTTTTAGGGTTGCAGAAAGAGCTACTTGGATTCTGAAATCCTCAAGTTAACAAAATATATAGGAAATGACTTTCTGAATTTCTAAGAGCTTGTTTTTTTTTTGTTTTTGTTTTTTTTTTTTTGAACTAGGTCTTCACTGGGACAATTAAAGTTGATAATTGGGAACTGCCTTGATAGTTCAATAAGAACATCCTCTTCCCTCACTTAACGTGAAAGTGGATTTCTTGGCTATAACTTGAATAGCTATATTTCCCCTTCCTTCCCTTCACTTGCCTAGTCAGGCCTTTGGCATAAGTTTCCTTAGAAAGAATGTAGGTACTGAAGAGGGGGATGCCTTCTTTCAGATCTTGTGGACGTCCAGTGGGGATGTGGTTGTGTTGTAAGCCTGAGAATTGTTTACCAGATGGCTAATGTGATTGACTTCTCTATTATAACTTTAAAAAAATCATTATGTGGTCAACTGCTATTTGAAAAAAGAAAATAATCTCAAATTAGATTTTTATTTCCATTTTAAAATAGAAATGTTTCATAATTGTTCAAGAAAAACAAAGCCTTTATGTTTTCTTTAGGCATATGCAAAACTAGAAGCAAAAGACTGAGTAGTTTTATCTAATTGTGCTCATTGAAAAATACATAATCAGTAAACTAATATCTGATATTATTTTAATGTTCTAGGCCTTATAGCTTTATAATTAAATTTATACTACCTTTGTAGAAATTTGTTTCAGTGATTTTTTGGGAAAAGTAAAAGTTATTTTGAGATGGAACAAGAGAACCCATTCCCTCTTTTGCTGTCCCTTTTTACTTTTGTTACTTTCTTCTTCCTGAACCAATATTTCTTTTCCCTTTAGAGAAATCTAAAGGTCATCCTTAATTTCTCTTTCTGTCTCATCTCCCACCATGATCAACTGCCTCATAAATATATCAAATATATCTGGAATCCATTCCGTTTTTTTTCATTCTCATTGCCCAAGTTCAGACTTACATGATCTCTTTTGATGACAACTATGACAATTTCCAAGCTCAGCTTCTTCCATCTCAATCCACATTTTCTTTCTTTCTCTCTCACTCTCTCTCTCTTTTTTACTGAGACAAGAGTCTTGCTCTGTCACCTAGGCTGGATTGCAGTGGCGCCATCTTGCTACTGCCTCAGAAGTTCAAACAGCAATCCACATTTTCTATTGGTACCAGAATTTTTATTCAAAAATGCGAAATGCGTTTGTTTAAAACACTTCAGCAATTTCATCTGAATTGTGAAATGAAACCCAAACTTATTTTGGAATATGAGGCCCTCTATGATACATCTCCTGTGCTCTTTCTATCTTTCTCACTGACCAATTCTACTGACATATATTCCAGCAATACTGGACTTTTTGTAGTTTTCTGAATACTTGCTTCTCTTTAAAACCTTTATGCCTTTTCCTGTTTTTCCGAGACAGTGTACGCCATCCTCTGTTGTTCCCCTAGCACACTCTTGTTGAGACATTCCTTCTCTTTGATGCCTTCTGTTGCTCCCAGCAAAATCAATCACCCTCTATTTTATTACCTTTGCATGTATTGCATTATCCCTCTATTATGTTACCTTCGTATTTGCTTTTTGTTTAGAACTGACTGCTATTTTGTAATTATTCATGTACTCCTCTGTTTTCCTATTTGCCTCTCAGTTTCCTGAAAGTAGAGGCTCCGGCCTAGCAGCTAGCTCTAGACCTATCATGAATTAGGTGGGAATAACTGAGATTTTTAAGGATATACTGGCATTCATTTTTCTAATAATAAAGCTGTCATTTTTGTTCCCAGAACCAAGCCAGGTCCAGCTGTGTTTTCTCAAGGCCCAATAACAAGAAGCAGACAAATTAGAAAAGAAGGGAATTTATTGCTATAACCAGATACAGGGAGAAGGCTGGAGGTAATTCCACCAGACTGACTCAAAGTATTACAATTGTCTTAGTTCTTATATAGGTTGGGGTTATGTGCCTACATGCAGTATAACATTCGCCGAAGTCTACTGGTAGCTAATTTTGTTTCAGTTAGAAGGTCAAAGGCAACATATGCTTGCTAAGTCTTTTTAAGCTATGAGGACTCCAGTACCTTTAAGGCCTGCCTACTGTGGCACCAGAGTGATTATTTCTATTTTATCTCCTTTACAGCTTGGTCTGGAGAGCCGCCTTAGACTCTCCAGTGAGTCTGTTCAAACAACTGCCTCTGTTACCCTGACTTGTCTCAGATTTCATCGACCTCGATGAGTCCTGGCACTAGTAATGTAAGACTCTCTCTATTATTTTGGCTTGTTCCGGGTTAGGGAGAAGCCCATGCAAGGCTCCTACTGACCATGTGTTTTGTTTCTAGCTTTGATGTCTGGGCACTGATTGCCCTAGGTTTAATTATTTGCTTAATGTTAAGGCAATGCTGTGGAAATTTGTCTGTGTGACTGGAGTGCTATGCAGGCCTGTCTGTGTGATTGTCAGGGAGAATTGGCCTGCCACAATTTTTTTCTTCAGTGTCAGATACTGTGCTGGGTCTTTAAATTTTTTGTTTCTAATCTGTAGAACAAATACTTTCAGAAAAAGCTAAAACATTTGCATTTAACAAATGAAAATGCTGAATCTGAAATGTTAAGTAACTTTTTAAAAATTACACTATTATTAAGGGGATACCGCCAAAAAAAAATCTAAGTTAAATTTATTTGATTTCCAAATACATGTTTTCTCCAAATTGTGGTTCCTTCCCCCATCCTTAGTGTTGATGAAGTAGGGATATAAATCATTTTGAGTCCTTTTTTGTTTTTTGAGATGGAGTCTTGCTCTGTCACCAGGCTGAAGTGCAGTGATGCAATCTCGGCTCACTGCAACCTCCGCCTCCTGGGTTCAAACGACTCTCCTGCCTCAGCCTCCCGAGTAGCTGGGACCACAGTTGGACACACCACACCTGGCTGGTTTTTTTTGTATTTTAGTAGAGACAGGGTTTCAGTATGTTGCCTAGGATGATCTCGAACTCTTGAGCTCAGGCAATCTGCTCGTCTCGGCCTCCCAAAGTGCTGGGATTATAGACGTGAGCCACCGAGCCCAGCTGAGTCCTAATGCTTTAGATGTAATAACACCCTGTGTACATGTACAACATTGTGGATTGTATACTAAACATATTTGTAATCTGTTGCTGTGGAACAAATTAATTCCAAATTCAGTCTTAGCTTACAATCTTGAAAGTCAGGAATCTGGGCACAATTTAGCTGGGTGCTTGAGGCCTCTCATAAGATTTCAGTCAATCTGTTGGCTGGGCTGCAGCCTCACTGCCCATTTCACTCATGTGATTGTTGGCAGGATTCAGCCCTCAAAGGCTTTTGGATTGAGGGCCTCAGTTCCTCACTAGCTGTTGCCTGGAGGCCTCTCTCCATTCCCTGCCAGTTGGGTCTCTTTCTAGGACAGTCCTTATCATACAGATGGTTTCCCTCAGAGTGAGCAAGACAGGAAGAGAGAGTGAGTATCCATGACAGAAGCCATAGTCTTTATTATGTAATCTTGGAAGTGACATCAATTACTGCTGAATAGAATCCATATTCTATTCATTGGAAGTCAGTCAGTAGTTCAGGCCACAATCAAAGGGAGGGGATTACACAGAGATGTTAGTGCTAAGATGTGGGGATCATTGGGACTTATTTTAGAGGCTACCAACTGCACAAGCTAATGAAAACGTTCACTCTTAAGGACAGAAGACAGAATCATAGAAAGATGTATTCAAAGCTTTTCTAAAATAACATAATGTTGGCTTTACCATGTTGTATGTAAGATAGCTGCATATATATATTTTAAAAAATAGAATTTTTGTTAGAACTTTAATATGGCTATATTCTGCATGTGGTCAAATTATAGCAATAAACCTACTTTTATATGCACTATTATTTATGAAACAATCAGAAAGTTCTATCTCTCATCTAATGCTCAAAACAATTAAGATGTTGATGAGCAAATACAATGGAGTGGCCCAAATATACTTTCTTTAGGGATTTTGTTTTTTAAAGATAGAAATACCATTACAAGGTTGGGTGCATCTAGAGAATTAAAATTATCAGATCAGGGAGTTGTAGAATAATTTTATAGATTATAAAATGACTGCACACTGAATATATCATCTGTATGATTTTATAGTACTACCTGATATATTTTGGTAGTGATTAATGAAGTCTAAAATTTTCTTCATTGGTAAATACATGTTATAGGTTTATAAGGAACACAGGGATAGATGGACTGTTCTTACATATGCTAATGCTGAGGGCATAAATAAAATAAAAATTTTGATGCTCAGAAAATTAAATTATTTTAGGCTGAGCATGGTGGCTCATGCCTATAATCCCAGCACTTTGGGAGGCTGAGATGGGCAGATCACTGTAGGTCAGGAGTTTTGATTCCAGCCTGACCAACATGGTGAAACCCTGTCTCTACTAAAAATACAAAACCTAGCCAGGCATGGTAACATTCACCTGTAACCCCAGCTAATCAGGAGATTGAGGCAGGAGGGTCACTTGAACCTGGGAGGCAGAGGTTTCAGTGGGCCAAGATTACACTACTGCACTCCAGCCTGGGTGACAGAGGTAGACTCTGTTTTTTTTTTTTTTAAAAAAAAAGAAAATAAAATTATTTTAAAGCTGATGATTAAAAACACAAAGTAATCAATAGTTGGATTCATTATATTTTCCCCTAAAGTTTTACCTTTATGTTGGAAATGTGAGCTTAAAGGAGGAAAACAGGGAGAGATAGGCATGTAGTGTAGTGGTAAGAAACATAGACACAGGGTTTGCAGCCTAGCTTTCGTACTTTTGTCATGTGGCTTTCAGTAAGTTACTTAATTTCTCTGTGCCTCATCTTAAAATGGGAATAACTGTATATGGTTGTTATGATTAAATTTATTCATATGTCTTATGTCCTTAGAAAAATGCCTTATATAAGCCTAATGTAACTCTTTTTGCTGCTGCTGCTGATTAATATTACTATATTCTATTGCTCTAAATACTCAAATTAACCCAAATTATAGTTTTTAGAGTGATAACTGTCAGCTTTAAATGTTATTTATTTTGTTTATTTAATATGAACTTTGCATATATAGGTTGTAGAGGTTCATTTATAACATTAGATAACTTCTAGCAAATCCAAGGAACTGATTCAATGATAAAATACTTGGAATAAGAAATGCTGTATTTTTAGTATGCTGAACATTTTTTAGTTCCCAATTTAGAAAAATTTGAACAGCTATCCTCAACATCGGATTTATGGATATATTAGTTTTTAGATCTGCCATAAGAAAATAGCAGAGGCTGGGTGGCATAAGCACAAAAATTAATTTTCTCATGGTTTTGGAGGCTAAAAGTCCCAGATAAAGGTGTTGACAGGTTTAGTTTTTCTTGAGGCCTGTCTCCTTAGCTTGTAGGAGGCTGCCTTCTCATGGTGTCCTCATATGGCCTTTTTACATGTGCATCCCTGGTGTCTCTTTCTCTTATAAAGTCATCTCAGATTAGGAGACCCACCTTAAAAGCCTCATTTTAACTTAACCACTTTTAAAAAGGCAATCTGCAAATATGGTTACATTCTGAGGTAATGAGGATTGGGACTATAACATATGAATGTTAGTGGGATGCAATTCAATTCATAAAAGTGGGTATGACATCAGGAAGTAAGTCTCAAAAATGACTGCTATTTAAAACATAACTTTTACAGTCAGAATATTAATTTGCTACCAAGAAAGAGTTAATTAAATAATTACTTTAAATAACTAATTTCACCATATTCATGAAATTTAAATAACATCATTTTATGTATTAGTCACATAAAAAAGTTAATTCATTATTTTATTTTCATAGTATTTATTGTATACCTTTTATGAGTCAGTCTGAAGAACTTTTTAAAGCATTTCTTGTGATTCAGGTCTGCTAGCAACAAACTCTCTTAGTTTTTGTGTATGACACTACTTTTATTTCACCTTCATTTTTGAAAAATAATTTTAGTGGATATAGGATTCTTGACTGACAGATTATTTTTAATTTCAGTACTTTGCATCATTCCACTGCTTTCTGTCCTAATTGTTTATGATGCAAAGTCAGCTGTTAATCTTACTGTGACTCCCTTGAATGTACTGAGTCACTTTTCTGTTGTGATTTTGAAGAGTTTCTCTTTTTTCATCTTTTAACGTTTTGCTATGATATGTCTGAGGGTGGATATTTTTGTGTTTATTCTGCTTGGAGTTTGTTGACTGTCTTGGTTGTGGAAATTTGTGTTTTTATGCAAATCTGATAAGTTTTTAGCCATTATTTCTTTGAATTTTTTTCTGTTATTTCTCTCTATGTTCTCTTTCTGGTTCTTCCAGTATGTGTTTGTTGCTGGCCTTCATAGTTCCTTGTTCATTTTTTTTTCTTTCTGGCATAATATCTCTAGAGCATATAATCTCTATTGATCTGTCTTCAAATTTACAGATTATTTTGTCTTTCAACTTAAATTTTTGGCCCCTCTAGTTAATTTTTTATTTCAGTGCTTTTCAACTCTAGAATTTCCATTAAAAATAATTTGTTTGTTGGTATTATCTTTTTGATGAATCACTGTTATCATACATTAAAAAAAATTTAAACATGGTTTTCATTAGTTCTTTTCACATATTTGTAATAGCTGCTTTTGAAATATTTGCCTGCTAAGTCCAGTAACTAGGCCCTTCAAAGGCAGTTTCTGTTGCCTACAATTTTTTTTTTTTTTGGTTTGGTCACATTTCTTCTCTTTCTTTGCATGTCCCATAATTTTTTCTTGAAAAATTGGACATTTAAGATACTATATTTTGACAGCTCTGGACACTAGCTCTCTCTTTTACTTTCTAAGAGTTATTGTGGTTGTTTCTTTGGTCATTTATTTGTTTAGTGACTTCTCTGGACTAATTATGATGTGTATTTTCTTTGCACCATGAAGTCTCTAATGTTACTGATCAGATTTTTAAAAAATCTTTTAGCCTGCCTTTTTAGGAGATGCTTCCATCTCTTCATAAAACACTAATTAGTCAAAGACATGTATGTGGCCACTATAACAATGCAGGTAGTTTACAATTTGGCCCTGCATTCAGCCATTGACTAGCAGCTTAGGGATTCTCTCTCTGGTTTCTTCTTAGAGGGCATAGCCTTTGGCAGCCACTGTTTTTCAGATCACCAGGGATGAGTGTGATCAACTTGATTTCCCAGGAGTCAACACTGGGTCAGTATAACTTATTATTCAGTAAGTGTTTGATCAGAGTTGT